TTTTTTTGTGGAGAACGTTTTAGAGGGGATCTTTCCATTTTATGTTTTCTTTTTTTTGTTGCATTATTGACTTCTTAATATTGTTATTGTTATTGCTGTGAATGTTGTTGTTTTAATGAAAGGGGTTAAGTTGAATGTTTGAAAGCTTTCAGGTTGGTAGCAGATCACATAACGGCAGGTGCGTTCGATAGTGCGGCACGTCTTCTGCAAGATCAACTTGGTATCACGCGTATACAACCCTTTAAACATCATTTTCTCACCGCATATGCAAGGTGATCACTTCGCTTCATTCTCGTTTTTTTAGTCCACAAAATGTAGTTGGGCAGACAGATTATTCCGTGATATGTGTAGAGTATATGTAATATTTTATTATAATTCATGCCCTTGTGCCTTTATAATAGAGCTGGCAAGTGTGTACGTTTGCAGTTGTAAATTGCTTGATGAGTTGTTGAAGCGTCTGAAGAGTTTTAAGTGAACTCTCTCGGGCATTTGTGATGCGTACTTGCTTACAGATCACGTACGGCATTCGAGGGACTTCCATCTGCGGGAGTGAATTTTGCGTATCCGTTGCGTAATTGGCAAGATGCAGCTGGTAAGAATGGCTTACCGGCTGTTGGTTTACAATTAGGTGATCTGGCGAATCGCCTTCAAGTTTGTTATCACCTTACAACGAGTGGCAAGTTCGGTGAGGCAATCGAGAAACTTCGTCAGTTACTGCTCTCAGTACCGCTTCTTGTGGTTAATTCAAAACAAGAGGTTTGTACCGAGCTTCATCCTTTATTTATTCATATCCTATTTTGTGAGATCCTAGTAGTAATGTTTCACATGTGTTGAGTTAAATTTCTCGATGCATTTATTCTGGGTTGCTGGATTTAGGTGGCTGAAGCACAGCAGCTGATCGATATTTGTCGTGAGTACTTGGTTGGTCTTCTGCTGGAAACGGCTCGTAAAGAGTTACCAAAAGAGGGTATCGAAAATGCGAAACGAAATGCTGAAATGGCCGCTTACTTCACGCACTGTCAACTACAACCTGTGAGTCGTTTTGGTGTTATCTTGTAGACTTATGTGTAAATTTTGACTGAAATGAGTTGTAAACGATTGTTGACTTAGTCGTAATCCATTTAGCGATTGATATTATTGGCGTGTTTAGTTAGTTTGTTATTCGTGGTGTTTTGCTCGAAGGATAGTATAATTATTGACAATTGAAGGTTGAGTAGTGTTCATCGTTTTGAATGGTGTTACTTACTGCAAACTCGCTTACTTGAGAGAATTTAGTGAAAGCTGAATGCGTTCATTTTCGATTCGGTATTGATTAGTAGTCACGGTAGCAATGTTGTGTATATTTGCAGGTGCATCAAATATTGACGTTGAGAACGGCAGTGAATCTCTTCTACAGATTGAAACAAATGAAAACATGCGCTTCATTCTCTAGAAGACTTCTTGAACTCGGTCAGTATTCAGTTATTGAAATCGTTCATCCTTTCTGTTGTAATTTTTTTTCATTTTCTTATTTCCGTTTCCATTTTGTAGAGCAAAAAATTTTTAGCGAATGAAAATTTCGAGTTTCACTGTCGAACTTTGTTGACGGTCCCAAGTGAGCCATTAGGAATGTTTGTAATTCTGAGATTGTTTCATTGCAGGACCAAAGCCCGAAGTTGCTGCTCAAATTCGTAAGGTATTGGCGATTGCTGAAAGGGATCCGACAGATGCTCATCAGGTTCAGTGGAATATTTCGTATTAGTGTTAACGTTTGAGCTTCTTCTTGCAGTATCAACAATGAATGTGAAAAGTATCAGTTATATTTGTGAAACGAGGAGTGTAAAAGTCGATGCAATGATGCATTCAATTTTCAGTTACGTTACGATGAGTTGAATCCATTCGTCATATGCTCACGAACATTCACTCCACTTTACAGAGGCAAACCACAGGTGAGTAACGAACAGTCTTAATTCAGAATTACTTTGAATTTAATTAGAATTCACTCATTTTGCTTGAAATATTGCTTATTGTAAAGTGGACAGAGGCAATTCATTAATGCTCCACGAAGTTCCAGCAGTGCTGAGTGTTTTATCTCTCAAACGGTTTCCATTGAAATATTGAATTTCAGGTGCGATGTCCTTTCTGTGGAGCATCATATTGCCCGGATTTATCTGGCGAAATCTGTGACGTTTGTCAGGTTGCTGAGATTGGACGTGACGCAATTGGTCTAAGAATCAGTGCAGTTCAAGCAAATAAATAAATTCATTGAACACTCAGTCGTTATTATCATCACTATGATTGTTGATATATATTTTGGT